GCACTGTCTGACGCGTCTGCCTCCTCGACCCGAAAGGAGAAGCGGCGATGGAAGATGAAGATGAAGATGAAGACTTGGAACAACAGTGCAGATGAACCGTGTTGCAGACTAGAAATGATTCCAGCCGTTGCTCACGTTCTGACGCAGGATCGTGGACAACGTGAAGAACAGTATGTGACACTTCTAGCTGTACAATCCGATAGGACAAGCAGCGTTTGAACCTGAATAACCAATTTCTGTATCAGTCATTACAAGCACGAGTCAAAATCGTTGCTCGGAGGCTAGCATTTTTGGCTAATGCCATGGTATTCGTCATCACAACAGACACGAGGCAGAAACACAAAAGTAACGCTAAATATAAAGCGGCTGAGTGTGCATCGCAACTGACGTACAGTGCCTCTCTTCAAACTCAGAGCAACTTAGAATTATTCGCCTTACAGTGGACAGTAGATCATGTTCTTTGGTGTTTACCAAGTTTGCACTGCAGAAGTATTAATTTATGTCGATCGTTAATTCGATACTTCTTTCAAAGTAAGCCAACCTTTGAAAGAAGCTTGAAAATGTCATATCGCTCGTTCATTTAATGATAGCAATTAGTCACGCAATGCCTGTGGACAGAGAAAAATGCTCTAAATTCGCGGAATGGCGATTTGTACGAGTTGATAATCAGGCATACGCAAGAAATCTTCCTTGCAGTGCCAGGTTTTTAATCACGTTTAGAATGATTCTACAGACGTCCGTTCCGGTCTTTGCTAATGTCGGCAGATGGTGCTACGAAATTCGCTATGTGATTTTTCATTTTACGACTCACTGTCGTTCATTTTTTTGCAAGTTTGCGATGATACAGTGACAATGACGTGGAACATTGCGATTTCTCAAAACAAGCATGGTTTCATGAAAGAGGATCGACTACAACTTTTTTGAAAACCTCAATTTTTTAGGGAAGATCACCAGGAAAAGTCATATCTTCCACACGCGCATCGTTTTGGCATAGTTTTGGCTCCTACTTCTTTTCTTCGTTGTAAAAGCTACACGGTGAACGGAAAATTCCGAGGTGATTTCGTAAACCCCGTTAAAGCAAAGTCTGAATATGATTTGAACTTAATTCAAACTCACAGTCTTAACACAATTCAGACTTTACTAATCAGAGACTTTAACAAAGTCTGAAATCCCGAGGTGCGCGATCACTTTATCTTTAACATATGCCTTATCTCCGATTGTGATCTGGCTAAACAATAAGAGTGTTAAGAAGTTGTTGGCAAAATGAAAGAATCTCGACCGGCTATAATGAAGTAACTGAATCTCGTCGCGACAATCGTTCTGCTGAATATGCTTGGAATGCCATAACAGCCTCTTTTCGGTCAGGAAGCCTGGATTCAAACAAAGTTGAACAGCGTCTTTTTTCTGGTCAATGACTTGCGGTTAACAAGTTCTGAGCGGTTTAATGCTTTCATTACCAATCTCCTTTAAATTAATATATTCATATTAGCGTTAGAAATGCCCCTTACGTTTAAATGGGAAGCGGTGTAATATGTTTACTGTTTTATCTCTTAAATTTATATATTCAAATTCTGAAATTATACATCTTCTGAAGTTTATTTCCAATTTACAACCAATACTGAAGTAGGAATCTTCCACTACAGTTGGTTTTCTGATTCAATGATTGAAGGCACGAAGTCAGGGCGGATCAGTATATTTATGATAACGAGTCGAATAAACCACCTCGTTAATCTACAGGTGCCCTCCAGATATTGGATGGTCCTTACTTGAAGAGTTAGACGATAAAATTGGAACGCAAGGATATGAATCCCACGAAAACATATGCATTTTAGTTTAACAGAGAAAGCTAGATCGTTATAAATTTTTGCCTTCGAAATAAATCCATGCTTTGTGTAAGTGTCGGGCGCCTGGCTTTGTTATTCTCTAACCTCGCACAGAAACATTGCAAACCGTTGCTCACGATTTAGCATGTGCCAACTTATAATTTTAGTTATAATAAATTTTGATCGGAAGCTAATAATTGAACGGTGTTTCCAATTGGAGCTAAGACGGCCCAGGGGCAGAAAGTCCGCTCGACTGCGAACCGGGACAGTTGAGAATGCATGCTGGTCCGAGATTCGAAAGGAACAGCGGTCTTCGCATATGGCTCGTGTTGCGGAACTGCTTTTGCCCAGATCGCTCGCGTCACGCTGTTCATCGCTAAGCGCAGCCCTCTCTTTGACAAGCTATGCATTAGAGGTAAGTGATTAATTAAAAACGGCGGATAAGCGGGCAAGCGTGTCGCTGATCTTGATCTTCATCTTTTTCACGTTTTTCGCTTCGGTTTTTCGCAGTTAAACGACCTGAATATCAGGCGTATAATCAGCATACCAGTCAACTGATTCCTACTTAAACATCGACCGGACAATTGAAGTTTGTGAAGCGACATTTCGAAAGCGGCTGGTCAATAGGCTTCTGACTGTTGTTCGCTTCAGAGCCACCAAAAATGCTGTACTCCATGATTGCGGTTCTTTTGGCGATCGGTTTCGTGACCGATTTTGGCGACGCTCAGATACTGCAACCGAGTTTCATTGGTAAGAAAAGCTTCCGCTCCAACTTTGTGCGTTGTGTCTTCCTCCGATAATTTGTATAGGCGGGAAAAGCGTCGTTTAAGTCATAAATGTCGAGCTGGCATGTTGTTTAGACAAAATTGCCTTTCAAGAGCTACCCTACGAAAGAACCACCTTTGAAAAGACTAGCCTTACAGTGCAATGGTATACGCCTGAAACCACCGTTTTTCAGAAGAGCGGACCAGCGCTCCTCCATACCCGTCCGTGCCTGAGGAGGACTCTGCGTGCCTCGATACTGTTGGTACTCAGGCGGCTCGCTGGCAATGTCCTGTGATTCAGACATAATCTGGGCAACAGATCCACTGGTTGATGCAGTCGCATTGCACCAAGGCAAAGAGCGATGCCTGTCGGCGACAACTCCAGAAAAGAAAGCTTGCAACCGTGGCGATGACGGCTTGTCCTGCACTTACGTGGCTGAGTACTGATGCGGCACTTTTATTTTCATGAAGTTTTTGGTGCAGAGCAGATCCATGTCCCCTTTCACCAGTCATGAGTGCCAAATTATTTCATCTTAACGCTACGTCTACTGCTAGGCGGACAATATTACGCAAACGATTACGTATAGCAAATTTTACGTAATTTTACGATCGCACCCGTTGAGCCACCAGATTACTTACGTGGCTTGATATTTTCTGCATGTAGCAGTACATTTACATACCTTAAAGGTTATTTTTGCTAGCCTCATTCACAGCGTGCATGCAGAAGTCAGATTTCAACATGTAATTATTGATGCAAAGTAACATAATACAGTATGAATAAGTTTAGAAAATAAAGAAATAAAAAATGTTTTATATGGCCGTGTGATGTCCCTTACGAAATCGTCAAGAGACGACTGAACAGTGGCTTCTTTCTTCTTTTCATGAACTACTTGATAACAGGCAAAAGCGTGAACAGCTTTTCTTTATATTTTTAAGAACCGCGAGGCATTAAGAACCATCTTCTCCAAACGCTACTGTCATATCATTCATTAAGACACTTTTCGTTTCCTCTCCTGATTCTGACACCTCAACTTCCGCAACTTTCGTAGTTTCTAATTCAGTGAGTTCCTCGTTCGATAATTCACCCACGTGCAAGGCAATCAATTCTTCGATACCACATGGGTGCCTCATTATACGGACAGAATCCTTCGCCACTGAATTCACTGTCAATGATGCGAGACCAGTATCGCGTCGTACGGCTGTCAAACGAACTTCGCATTTCTTTATAATTTTCCTTTTCATCTCGGGATAGATGTTTTACGTCTACGTATGGGCTTATTTGTGCCACTTCTGCTGTCTTTTGCAGTCATTAGTGTACTCTGCCAGGACGAACACAAGCACTGGAAATGATTAAATTCCATGAATAGAAATTCACAGCACGCCCGTCTTCAATACTGGACAAAACGTGACTGATGAAGGCACACACATGCACCGCATGGGCTTTCTGTCTTCCGCAAAACCGCTGTTGGATGTTCATTTCTATAGGCGTGCCCATGCAGCAACGAACACAGCGTACTTCTCTCATTGTTAGGTGACTTAGGCCCACTGTTCAGTATGACGAATTTATCTAAGAGCGGATTCAAATTTATTAGGATCTATTAAGAAGCAAATCAAACGGTATATTACTTCACTGTGCCTAACTTCGGTGCCACCAACCGAGAAACGGCTAGTTAGTTGCTGACTTCCAAACGGTACGGTCGAGATTTGGTTCTGGCGAGGCCGTGCCAGAGAATGCAAAACCAACGGTCATTCTGTCTGATCCTAGCGCCTTACGGCTGCAATTGGCCTTGACCAGACTGTTGGGTGCTATCAGCCAGCACAGGGTGTTATCCCTGAACAAAAATCAATCAAGAATTATACGATTTCTCAATTTTAGGACCGATTCAGACAGCAATATCGGAAATGGGTGGTCTGCCGCCTGGCTTCTATAATTTCGAAGGCGGTGATCCGTGTGTGGCCCTTGGAACGCTTTCGGGCATGCTGATGCAGAGACAAGACTTACTGGGCATGGTCGACCCGACAACGTCGCCGCTGTTCTTGAACGCACTCACCCAGATGCAGCAGGCACGACAATAGCAGCTACGTGACCATCACTAAACGGTTGATTTTAGCTGAGCTCGTTGAGCTACGATGACACCAGCATCCAGCCGATGTGCAGCCAGTATATGAACTACTTCGGCTACTAACAGACGTTTACGAAGCTGTGCTTAGCGCCGGGAAGCAAGGCAAATGAACGAAATTTCATTGCGACTACATTTTCTCACTATATATGAATATGTTATGAAAATAAAGCTATACCACATGAAGGTCATCTCGCAGAGACACGTTAAATGAAACCTTAAGCGTTAACACCACCGAGCTTGCTCTAGGTTTAAGTATCTGTTCGTGTACGAACTAACGCTCGTCAACCAACCGGGACCACTAAGCCGAGCTTGACTCACCTGACAGACAATTTGCCCTTCTTGTGCAAGATCGTTGAAAATCCTAATCCGCGGCGCAAACTTCCTGATTTTGCTCTATGCTGTTTAATTAATTAACAAAACTGTCCATCAGAATAAGATTTGTCTTAATAAAGGCTAAAATCGATTAGTAAGTGGGCAGAGTAGTTGGTTCTCCGTTTCCTCGCTTTATTGGCAACCGCTGTAAAGCACTTTCGCTTTGCACTTGGATCCCTGACCTGGCAGTTCAGCTCAAAGCATTTCTTGTACGGTTTTTTAAATCTATTGTTTTTCAATTTATCGTTTCTTCGTTACATTTGGGTTAGTTTATTATGCTTTACTTAGTCGCGAAATGTATGATACCGTAACTCCTGTTCAGCAGTAGGTGATAGACAGGTTGCCTCATTCCCGCGAGGCTCTCCGAAAAATCAGTATGACCTATACGAAACTTTCCCACTGACTTTCAGGAGAGTGTCAGAAGCAGGAACCTTGTGCAACGTTCGACAGAAACGGTCATTATATTCGCATGCCCAATGTAAAATAGTAATGTCATTTATTGTTATGTGTACTCAGGAACTGCTATCATCGTGCAATTTTGTATATGCTGAAGAATGCAGTTCGTTTGTGACTCCATTCAACTAGTGAACTTACAAACTTTACGAACTTTAAATTTAAAATCAATGCTTAAATTGAAGTACTGTCCAGTTAATGGGCATTACCTGTGAGAGCATTTATTTCACTCGGGAGACACGTACGAGCTGACGCGCTTTACTCAGTGATACGGAATTGCGTTGTACGTACTACAGGCGTTTAAATTTCTAGCTGAGTCATGATCTGTTCAAATAGTAAATCAGGCATCATTAATTGAAATACAATATTTGCTAACGGACTCTGACAGCTGTCATTCTTGATAGCCACCCCAGAACATCCGGATAATGTTTTATCATTTTCTTTGAATAACGAATGGCTCTTCCCACACCAGATTTCGTAGAGTATTGCACCATTCAGTTGCTGCTAGTTTCTTATTGGTCATATAAGCAAAACCGCCGATTCGTGGTATGTGAGCTCCCGCAGTGCCAAATGTATCTTGCACCATTTTGTCTGTTAAAAAAACCTCGACCTGATTACTAACGATGTTTCAGAAGCTTGTACTCCTGCGGCGACATATAAGGAGTACCGGTTTCTGAAAATTCATTCGTAAACAACACGAAGTGCCTCTAGCGGACAAAACCATGTAATATGTATTTGGCACCGCTAGTGGTCAAATATCGTGGAACCTCATCCTGTTTAAATTTCCCTTGAGCAACTGATCACTGCAATACGCCATTAAATCTGGTGTTCGAAGA